CAAATCCCAGCAACTACAACTCCCAAATCTCAAGGTCTATTTTCCCCAAACACCACCAGTGTTCACATTTGGGCATATTGGGTATTCCTGCCAAGTTTGGTCCAGATCCATCATTGTTTGAGTCCACGGTGCTCCCTGGATGTAGGTGAACTACAACTCCCAAACTCAACGTCAATGCCCACCAAACTCTTGTAGTGTTTTCTGTTGGTCATGGGAGTTCTGTGGGCCAAGTTTGGTTCAATTCCATCGTTGGTGGAGTTGAGAATGCTCTTTGATGGTAGGTGAACTATAACTCCCAAATGACAAAATCAATTCCCTGCCCCCCACCCCAGGTATTTGTGTCAAATTTGGTTCAGCAAATGAAAATACATCCTGCATATCAGATATTTACATTACAATTCATAACAGTAGCAAAATTACAGTTATGAAATAGCAACAGAAATAATTTTATGGTTGGGGGTCACCACAATATGGGGAACTGTATTAAGGGGTTGTGGCATTAGGTAGGTTGAGAACCACTGCTTTAAACCATGACATCATGCTGAAAGATAATAATAATAATAATAATAATAATAATAATAATAATAATAACAACAACAACAACAATAATAGTGATGATAAATGCCATCAAAGCCAGAATTGAAAAGTCAATGGCAGATTCAAAGTGTAAACTCTGCAAGGAAGCAGGCAAAATGATGGGTCACATCCTCAGCTGCTGCAAGAAGATTGCACAGACAGACTACAAGCAGAGGCACAACACAGTTGCTCAGATGATCCATTGGAAGTTGTGCCACAAACACCATCTGCCTGTGACAAAGATCTGGTGGGATCACAAGCCTGGAAAAGTTACACAAAATGAACACGCCGAACTACTCTGGGACTTTTGAATTCAGACCGACAGAGTTTTGGAGCACAATATTTTCCTGTTTGAAAAAAAAAACCAAGTATGGATAATTGATGTTGCAATCCCAGGTGACACCAGAATTTACAAGAAGCAACTGAAAAAGCTTACACAATACAAGGATTTAAAGACTGACCTGCAAAGACTCTGGCACAAGCCAGTCAAAGTGGTCCCAGTGGTGATCGGCACACTGGGTGCAGTGCCTCAAGACCTTGGCCTGCACTTAAAAACCATTGGTGCTGATGAAATTATCACCTGTCAGTTGCAAAAGGACATCCTACTAGGGTCTGCATGCATTATTTACTGATACATTACACAGTCCTAGACACTTGGGAAGGATCCAACATGTGATCGAATACAAATGCCAGCAGAGTGATCTTGCTTGCTGTGTACTAATCTTGTTATGTATCAAACAACAACAACAATATCTTGCCTGCTTCTCCTCAAAGTGGGGTGCAACACAATTAAAATACATCAAAACACAAAACCATTAAAGGTAAAGGTTTCCCTTGACATTAAGTCTAGTCGTGTCTGACTCTGGGACTCTGGTGCTCATCTCCATTTCTAAGATGAAGAGCTTAGAAATGGAGAACTTATTTTTCTCTGTAGACACCTCCAAGGTCATGTGGCTACTGGTATGACTGCATGGAGCGCTGTTACCTTCCTGCCAGAGCAATACCTATTGATTTACTCACATTTGCATGTTTTTGAACTGCTAGGTTGGAAGAAGCTGGGCCTAACAGTGGGAGCTCACCCCACTCCCCGGATTTGAACTGCCAACCTTTTGGTCAGCATGTTCAGCAGTTCAGTGGTTTAGCCCGCTGCAACACCAGAGGGCCCACAAACCATTAAACACTTATATTAAAAGCCGTATTTGTAATTTAAAAACACCCTGAAACCATTTGATGGTTGCTCTTTTTTCTCTCTTTTTTCCAGGGAGTCAGGGATTACAGTGTACCCATAGGGCTGGATGCAAAGGTACAGGTAGACCTGGTGGTTGTTGGGTCTGTAGCTGTTTCTGAAAAAGGTATGTGAGTCATCTACACTGTAGAATTAATGCAGTTTGATGCTACTTTGACTGCCCTCGCTCGTTGCTATGGAATCCTGGGAGTTGTAGTTTGGTGAGGCACCAGCACTCTTTAATAATTTTTTTTCCGTGTGAGGAGTGACTTGAGAACCTGCAAGTCGCTTCTGGCATGAGAGTATTGACCGCCTGCAAGGACATTGCCCAGGGGACGTTGCCCAGATGTTAGATGTTTTACCATCCTTGTGGGAGGCTTCTCTCATGTCTGCACATAGGGTGCTGGAGCTGACAGAGGGAGCTCATCCGTGCTCACCGGATTCGAACCTGCAACCTGTTGGTCTTCAGTCCTGCCGGCACAAGGGTTTAACCCATTGCTCCACTAGGGGCTCCTAATAATAATAATAATAATAATAATAATAATAATAATAATTTTACTTCTTACCTGCCTCTCCTCATGGCTCGAGGCAGGTTACAAAACTGCTAAAAGACATAATCAAAATGCATAATCATTTTAAAACACACTGTAGAATACATATATTAAAACATATTTCCATAAAATGCATATTAAAATACACAAAACAAAAGTTAGATATAGAGTGGAAGTTTAAAATTCATCATTAGGAAACTGAAGACATTGTAAAACTACAACTCCCATTATTCCATTTTAGCATTCTGTTGTTGTTGTTGTTGTTTACCTGCCTCTCCTCCCTACTCAAGGTGGAGTACAATACCATTAAAATACACATATTAAAAGATGTTGAGATTAACACACATTAATAATAATAATAAAAAACACTAATAATAATAATAATAATAATAATAATAATAATAATAATAATAATATACTTTATTTATATTCTGCTCTATCTCCCTGAGGGGACTCAGAACGGGTTACAGGTACATATATGACAAATATTCAATGCCATTATACAACTGACAGAGACAGATAGTACATAAACAGAGGTAAGGCTTCCCTCTTTTCATCTCCGGCATCCTGCTGTGTTCAACTCAGCCATGGGGAGGTGCTGCTGTTTCATTTTCCACACCAAGGTGCCAATCGTCCATGGACTCCTTTCTTGTTAAGATTTTTGCTGGCATGTTTTTTCAGGTCCTCGGTGGTGCAGTGAGTTAAACCGCTGAGCTGCTGAACTTGCTGACCAAAAAGTTGGCAGTTCGAATCATGGAGTGGGGTGAGCTCCCGCTGTTAGCCCCAGCTTCTGCCAACCTAGCAGTTCAAAAAATGCAAATGTGAGTAGATCAATAGGTACTACTCCGGCAGGAAGATAATGGTACTCCATGCAGTCATGCCAGCCACATGACCTTGGAGGTGTCTGTGGACAATGCCGGCTCTTTGGCTTAGAAATGGAAATGAGCACCAACCCCCAGAGTCGGACATGACTGGACTTAATGTTAGGGGTAAACCTTTGCAACTTACTCCCCACCAAAGCAGTACCTATTTATCTACTTACATTGTTGTTTTTGAACTGCAAAGTGAGCAGAAGCTGGGCTGACAGCGGGAACTCACCCAAAACTGGACTTGAACGTTCCAGTTGGCAGAATGAAAATCATGTGTAGTTCATGTTTTTACCAATCCACACATTGTCTTGCAAGATAAAAGATATGCCACACAGATTATCAATAAAGAATAAAGTGTTTACTCTTTGTTACACAGAGCAACATATCTACAGTCATGTGAACTGTTGCATTGACTCAAACAATGTACTTTTAGAGCAGTGGTTCCCAACCTGTGGGTCCCCAGGTGTTTTGGCCCACAACTCCCAGAAATCCCAGCCAGTTCACCAGCTGTTAGAATTTTTGGGAGTTAAAGGCCAAAACATCTGGGGATCCACAGGTTGAGAACCACTGTTTTATAGAGATTCCAATGGTCTTTATGTGTCCGTGTGCAGAATCTTCCTCCAACAGCTCAGAAGCAGAAAATAATATCCCAACTTTTCTTGTCAAGCTCCTGAACAAAAAACCAAAACATGTAACTGTTGCCAAAACTCCCAGGCTCAGTTAGCTTCTGGGTATAGCCTAACCAATCAGCTTAGATCTTTGCATTTTTCAGTTAACACACTCACCACGTGATTTTTACATTCTTCAACAGGATCTTCTATAACAGGCAGTTTCACCCACTGTGCTAGCCCATGCATAACAATAAAATGTCATTTTTTAAAATCCATCTTTTCAAACTGGGTAGGGCTGCTGGAAGGAGTGACGATGATGATAATGTTTTCATTTCTTACCCACCTGAAGTTTCAGCGCAGGTTACAACAGAGTAAAAACACACTAGATAAAAAGATAACAATAGATAGAAATGTGCATCCCTTTTACGACACATTGATTAGAAACACAGAGACAGGATCAAAACACCAGTAGCATCATCCACAGCTTTAAATATAAATATATATTTTGTTGGTTGAAATGGACTGGATGTAGGCCTGTGAATCCCAAGTTGTATAGTTTGGTACAACACTAGGGACAGAATTCTCTATACCTGGTAAAACTGCAAATTCCAGGACCCCATACATTGAAACCATGGGGAGTCATGGTCTCATGTCTGATTCCACAGCAAGCTGGCTTCAGAAAAGGCAAAAGCTGCACATCGCAAATGCTGAACCTGACTCAGCACATAGAAGATGGCTTTGAAAGGCAGCAGATCACAGGAGCTGTCTTCATAGACCTGTGAGCAGCCTATGATACTGTGAACCACCGCCTCCTCCTGAGAAAAATGTATAATATCACAAAGGACGACCACCTCACCCGCCTCATAGGAAACCTGCTACGAAACAGGAGCTTTTTTGTTGAATTCCAGGGCCAGAGAAGCAGATGGCAGAAACAGAAGAACGGCCTGCCTCAGGGGAGCGTGCTTGCTCCATCCATGTTCAACATCTACACAAATGACCAGCCACTGCCAGAAGGGACAGAGAGTTTCATCTATGCTGATGATCGTGCCATTACTGCTCAAGCAGGGAGCTTTGAGATGGTTGAACAGAAGCTTTCTGAAGCTCTAGGTGCTCTTACTGCCTATTACAGGGAAAACCAGCTGATCCCCAACCCATCTAAAACACAGACATGTGCCTTTCACCTTAAGAACAGACAAGCATCCCGAGCTCTGAAGATCACCTGGGAAGGAATCCCACTGGAGCATTGCAGCACACCCAAATACCTGGGAGTCACTCTGGACTGTGCTCTTACCTACAAGAAGCACTGCCTGAACATCAAGCAAAAAGTGGGTGCTAGAAACAATATCATACGCAAGCTGACTGGCACAACCTGGGGATCACAACCAGACACAGTGAAGACATCTGCCCTTGCGCTATGCTACTCTGCTGCTGAGTATGCATGCCCAGTGTGGAACACATCTCACCACACTAAAACAGTGGATGTGGCTCTTAATGAGACATGCCGCATTATCACGGGGTGTCTGCGCCCTACACCACTGGAGAAATTACACTGCTTAGCCGGTATTGCACCACCTGACATCCGCCAGGAAGTAGCAGCCAATAGTGAAAGGACCAAGGCAGAGACATCTCCAGCTCATCCCCTGTTTGGGTATCAGCCAGCACGTCAACGACTTAAATCTAGAAATAGTTTTCTAAGATCTACGGAGACACTCGTTGGAACACCTCAGCAAGCGAGAGTCCAAAAGTGGCAGGCTCAAACCCAGAACCTCAACCAATGGCTGATACCAAATGAGAGACTCCCCCCTGGGCACACAGAGACTGGGCGACTTGGAAGGCGCTGAACAGACTGCGCTCTGGCACCACGAGATGCAGAGCCAACCTCAAGAAATGGGGCCACAAAGTGGAATCCACAACATGCGAGTGTGGAGAGGAGCAAACCACTGACCACCTGCTGCAATGCAACCTGAGCCCTGCCACATGCACCATGGAGGACCTTCTTGCAGCAACACCAGAAGCACTCCAAGTGGCCAGATACTGGTCAAAGGACATTTAATCAACTACCAAACTCACACATTTTGTATTTTGCCTGTTTGTCTGCTTTGTTCTGTTAGAAATGTAATATAATTGACTGGTTGCCCTGACACGACAAATAAATATGGGGAGTCATAGTGCTACTATTCTATAGTGTGAAAGGGCTGCTTGTGATCACGTTCCTCTCATTGATCTTGGTGGGTCTTTGCAGGTTGGCGCATTGGGAAAGGCGAAGGCTATGCTGACATGGAATACGCCATGATGGTCTCCATGGGGGCTGTGAAAGAGGACACGGTGGTTGTCACGGCTGTTCACGATTGTCAGGTAAGTATTATATCCATATATGACAGATGACCAAATGGCCAATGTCTGGAAACTATTACTCCCGCTGAGCAGCAGTTTAGAGCGCTGAGGGTTTTTAGCTTGGAGAGAGAGACAATTCATATATATGTATATGTATATATATATATATGTTTATATGTATGTGTATATTTGATCCACAAAAGGCTCCTACACTGCTTAATGCAGTGGTTCTCAACCTTCCTAATGCTGCGACCCCTTAATACAGTTCCTCATGTTGTGGTGGTCCCCAACCATAAAATTATTTTCATTACTACTTCACAACTGTAATTTTGCTACTGTTATGAATCGTAATTAAATATCTGATATGCAGGATGTGTTTTCATTCACTGGACCAAATTTGGCTCAAAGACCCAATATGCCCAAATTTGAATACTGGTGGGATTTAGGAGGATTGATTCCATCATTTGGGAGTTGTAGTTGCTGGGATTTATAGTTCAGCTACAATCAAAGAGCATTCTGAACTCCACCAATGATAGAATTGAACCAAACTTGGCACACAGAACTCCCATGACCAACAGAAAATACTGGAAAGGTTTGGTGGGCATTGACCTTCAGTTTTGGAGTTGTAGTTCACCTACATCCTGAGAGCACCGTGGACTCAAAACAATGATGGATCTGGGATTTATCGTTCACCTATAATCAAAGAGCATTCTGAACCCCACCAAGGTTAGAATTGGGCCAAACTTCCCACACAGAACCCCCATGACCAACAGAAAATACTGTTTTCTGATTATCTTTGACGACCCCTCTGACACCCCCTCACGACCCATCTAGGGGTCCCGACCCCCAGGTTGAGAAACACTGGCTTAATGCATTGAGATCAAACTTGATGCATATGCCCTCTATGATCAACTTAAAATGCAAGCGCAGTCTGCAGGAATAATAGATAATGATGGGAGTTGTAGTCCACCCACATCTAGAAAGCCATGTGAATCCCACCCACGATGGATCTGGAGCAAATTTGGCCCTTCATGACCAACTTAAAATACTGGTGGGTCTTCATAGCAGATGACGGCAATTGTAGTCCACCTACATCTGGAGAGCCATTTGAATCCCACCCATGATGGATCCGGACCAAACTGGGTACAAATGCCCTTCATGTACAACTTAAAATACTGGTGGGAATTGAGAACAGATGATGGGAGTTGTAGTCCACCCACATCCAGAGAGCCATATGAATCCCACCCACAATGGATCCGGACCAAACTTGGCCCTTCATGACCAATTTAAAATACTGGTGGGTCTTCACAGCAGATGATGGGAATTGTTGTCCACCCACATCCAGAGAGACTTGTGGATCCCACAAACAACGGATCCAGACCAAAGTTGGCACAAATGCCATTCATAATCAACTTAAAATATTAGTGGGGGTGCACAGCAGATGACAGGAGTTGTAGTCCACCTACATCTGGAGAGCCATGTAAATCCACCCACAATGGATCTGGACCAAACTTGGCACAAACCAACTTAAAATACTGGTAGGAATTGACAACAGGTGATGGGAGTTGTAGTCCACTCACATCCAGAGAGCCATGTGAATCCCACCCACGATGGATCCAGACCAAACTTGGTACAAATGCCATTCATAACCAACTTAAAATACTGGTGGGTCTTCATAGCAGATGACAGGAATTGTAGTCCACCTACATCTGGAGAGCCATGTGAATCCCACCCACAATGGATTCGGCTGTTAAGAACTGTGGGAGTTGAAGTCCAAAACACCTGGAGGGCCCAAATTTGCCCATACCTGGTCCAGATCAAGGGAAGTCATAGATCTACTCTTGACTCACTTGGAATAGTTCTTTGTCCAGTTCAAGAAGGATATTGGCAAGAGGGAAGGTGTCCAGAGAAGGGCCACTGACATGAGAGACCCACATCATACGGACATGCCTCTTTCTTGCCCTCCTCGCTGCAGGTGGTGGACATCCCCGAAGCCCTCCTGGCTGACCACGACCTCACTGTGGACTATATCCTGACCCCAACAAGAATTATCAAGACGGGTTGCAAGCGTCCCAAACCTCAGGGGATCCTATGGCACAAGGTGAGTCATTTTTCCCCCACTGTGGGTCACTTAGGGTGCATCTACACTGTAGAACTAATGCAGTTCGACACCATTCAAAGTGCTCGATGCTATGGGATATGTCATTTTGCAAGGCTTTTCCTTCTCTGCCACAAGGTGCCAGTGCCTCACCAAGCTACAATTCCAAGGATCCCATCTTATTGCACTAAAATATAGAACATGTCCCAGCTGCCTGATGGGAGGATTCTGGGAAGCGTCATCCAAAGTAATTTCTCTAAGTGGTGGGTCATGATAACGCTTTAAATACACACATGTTTCAAATCTATTTTTAAAATCTAATAAATCAGGGAGACAATGTTTTGCAGAATTCTGGATGGAGATTCAGACTATCTGGGTTTGAAGCCAAGGAAATACAGGGTTGTTGTGAGTTTTCTGGGCTGTATTTTATTTATTTATTTATTTATTTTTATTTAAAACTTTTGTAGCCCGATCTTCTCTACCTCTGTAGAGGGACTCAGACCAGCTAACAGCAAGGATTCAAGGCTAACAATACAATCTAAAACATCGTACATCAACAATAAATTAAAATACATATAGATTAAAATACATAAAAGCCAGTTCGTCAAGATAAAATCATGCCCCACTCAATCCGCATATGTGGTCGATAACTTTAGTCAATTGCCAGTCTCCGCCATCATTCTGGGAATGCCTCGTTCCATAGCTTCCTGAAGATCAGGAGGGAAGGGGCAGATCTGATCTCAATCGGGAGAGGGTTTCATAGCCAGGGAACCACCACAGAAAAGGCCCTGTCTCTTGTCCCCACCAGACGTGATTGTGAGGGTGGTGGGACCAAGAGCAAGGCCCCTCCGGAAGATCTTAACAGCCTTGATGGTTCATAGGGGAGAATACGTTCAGACAGGTAAACTGGGCCGGAACCGTATAGGGTTTTGTAGGTTAAAACCAGCACTTTGAATTGTGCTCGGAAGCTAATTGGCAGCCAGTGAAGCTGGCACAACAGAGGAGTTGTGTGCTCCCTGTACCCTGCTCCTGGCTGGCAAGCATTGGACTAGTTGTAGCTTCCGGGCAGTCTTCATAGGCAACCTCACGTAGAGAGCGTTGCAGTAGTCTATGCGGGATGTAACCAGAGCATGGACCACCGTGGCAAAGTCAGACTTCCCAAGGTACGGGCGCAACTGGCGCACAAGCTTTAACTGTGCAAAAGCTCCCCTGGCCAACACCAAGACCTGGGGTTCCAGGCTCAGCGATGAATCCAGGATCACACCCAATCTGCAACCTGCGCCTTCAGGGGGAGTGTAACTCTATGCCCTGTTCGGCCTTGCGACTGACCAGGAGTACCTCTGTCTTGTCTGGATTCAGTTTCAATTTGTTCATCCTCATGTAGTCCATTACAGCGGTCAAGCACCGGTTCAGGACTTGAACAGCCTCCTTAGTAGCAGGTGGGAAGGACTGACAGACTTGGACACCATCTGCGTTCAGATGACACCGCACCACGAAACTCTGGATGATCTCCCCCAACAGCTTCATGTATATGTTGAATAACATAGGGGACAATACTGAGCCCTGCGGGACCCCACAGTACAATGGCTGTGGGGCCGAGCAGGAGTCCCCTAATAACACCTTCTGAGAATGAAGGACTAGAGCCACTGCAAGGCCACTGTATGGCCATGTTCCCAAAGCATTCTCTCCTGACATTTCGCCTGCATCTATGGCAGGCATCCTCAGAGGTTGTGGAGTCTGTTGGAAACTAGGAAAATTTATTTATTTATTATTCAAACTTATATGCCGCTACTCCCCTGGGGCTTGGAGCGGCTTACAAGAACAGGCTAAAATCGAACACAATTTAAAAACAATTTAAAACAATTTAAAAACAGCAATATCAAAGGTCAAAGGCCTGTCGAAACAGATATGTCTTACATGCCCTGCGGAAAGCTGATAAGTCCCGCAAGGCACGGACTTCAGGTGGTAGAGTATTCCAGAGTGATGGTGCCACTGCTGTAAAGGCTCTGCGTCTGGTTGCTGTTAGAGACAAGGTCTTAACACTGGGAATTTCCAACAAATCTTGGTCTTCAGAACGGAGGGATCTCTGGGGTTGGTAGGGGGTGAGGCGGTCCCTCAGGTACATCGGCCCCAGACCATGCAAGGCCTTAAAGGTGAGTACCATCACTTTGAAAGTGATCCGGTGCTCAATTGGTAACCAATGCAGCTGTAGTAAGATTGGTGTTATGTGGCATCTCATCGGAATTCCCACAAGAAGCCGAGCAGCTGCATTTTGTACCAACTTGAGCTGGTACAAAATATATAAATTGGGTTTATATATCTGTGGAATAATGTCCAGGGTGGGAGAAAGAACTCTTGTCTGCTGGAGGCAGGTGTGAATGTTCCAATTGGCCACTTTCATTAGCATTGAATGGCCTAGCAGTTTCAAGGTGTGGCATCTTACTGCCTGGGGGAATCCTTTTTTTGAGAGATGATTAGCTGGCCCTGATAGTTTCTAGTCTGGAATTCCCCTGTTTTTGAGTGTTGTTCTTTATTTACTGATCTGATTTTAGAGGGTTTTTTTTAGTACTGGTAGCCAGATTTTGTTCATTTTCATGGTTTCTTCCTTTCTGTTGGAATTGTCCACATGCCTATGGATTTCAATGGCATCTCTGTGTACCCTGACATGGTAGTTGTCAGAGCAATCCAGCATTTCTGTGTTCTCAAATAATATGTTATGCAAGTTGGTTCATCAGGTGATCTGCTATGGCAGAGTTCTTTGGTTGAAGTAGTCTGCAGTGCCTTTCATGTTAGGTGAAACGACAGGAGAGAATGCTTCAGGAACATGGCATATAGCCTGGAAAACTCACAACAACCCAGTGATTCCGGCCATGAAAGCCTTCCACAATTCAAGGAAACACACTTTGCGAAACTTGGATGAGCCCCACTCTTTCAATCTCCCATGAAATCTTGCCCAGAGAAACCTAGGAGATGGTTACCATAAATTGGATTTGTTTGAAAGCATGTAGCAAAATGATTGATTTTTTTTTCAAGTCCAAAAGCTTCATCTCTGTCCTTTGCTTCTGGAAATTTTATTATTTAGCTCTTGGATTCTTGGATTCCTTCCATCTTTCTTTGATCGCCCAACAGAATTGGGTTTTTATAAAGGTTTTCTAAGCTTCCCATCAATCAATCAATCAATCAATCTCTTTGTGGCTCCATCTTCTTCCAATTGCAATGGGTGTCTGCTGACATCTGACCAGAGTCCCTTTTCATCTCAGTGTGACTTTTGGCACCTTGGCAGACAGGACCAGGCTTATCAGACTGACTGTTTATCAAAATTGCCCTCTCCTTCTGTATTTCTTATCAGAGAAAAGAGATGAAAAGCATGCAATCTGATTGAGGGCAAAAGGTGGTGAGCCCAGTTACCCCCCAGCAGTGCTCTACCATCTGTTTGCTTGGTTTGAAACCTTTTTTTTTTCTCACCATAGTGTCACAGAATGGAGACTCCAAGGAATGGCATCCTCAGAGTTTGATGAGGCAGGGAACTATGATTTCCTCTCTTTTTCTTCTTCTTAGAATCATAGAATCATAGAGTTGGAAGAGACCTCGTGGGCCATCCAGTCCAACCCCTTTCTGCCAAGAAGCAGGAATATTGCATTCAAAGCACCCCTGACAGATGGCCATCCAGCCTCTGTTTAAAAGCTTCCAAAGAAGGAGCCTCCACCACACTCCAGGGCAGAGAGTTCCACTGCTGAACAGCTTTCACAGTCAGGAAGTTCTTCCTAATGTTCAGATGGAATCTCCTTTCTTGTAGTTTGAAGCCATTGTTCCATTGCGTCCTGGTCTACAGGGAAGCAGAAAACAAGCTTGCTCCCTCCTCCCTATGACTTCCTCTCACATATTTATACATGACTATCATGTCTCCCCTCAGCCTTCTCTTCTTCAGGCTAAACATGCCCAGCTCTTTAAGCCGCTCCTCATAGGGCTTGTTCTCCAGACCCTTGATCATTTTAGCCGCCCTCCTCTGGACACATTCCAGCTTGTCAACATCTCTCTTCAATTGTGGTGCCCAGAATTGGACACAATATTCCAGGTGTGGTCTAACCAAGGCAGAATAGAGGGGGAGCATGACTTCCCTGGATCTAGACACTCGACTCCTATTGATGCAGGCCAAAATCCCATTGGCTTTTTGGCCGCCGCATCACATTGTTGGCTCATGTTTAACTTGTTGTTCATGAGGACCCCAATATCTTTTTTCCCACGTACTGCTCTCGAGCCAGGTGTCCCCATTCTGTATCTTTGCATTTTGTTTTTTTCTGCCTAAGTGGAGTATCTTGCATTTGTCCCTGTTGAACTTCATTTTGTTAGTTTTGGCCAGTCATCTCTCTAATCTGTCAAGATAGTTTTGAATTCTGGTCCTGTCCTCTGGAGTATTGGCTATCCCTCCCAATTTGGTGTCATCTGCAAACTTGATAATCATACCTTCTAACCCTTCTTCTTTCAGATCAGCCCTGAAACACTTGCCAAGATCCCCATCCTGAAGAACCTCCACCACAGAGAGAAGCAGGAAGGCAAGGAGGTGACCCTCAAAGAGGAAAAGCCCAGGAGTCCTACTAGAGTCCAAGCAGCCAAACTGGAAAGTGCCAGATTGCAAAGGAAAACCCAACAGATGTTGGAGAGATCTTTGCCTGACAAAGTGGACCGGAAAAGGTCTGGTTTTGCCACTGTCTACGTGGGCAACATCTCTGATGGGATCCGTGTGAGCGAGTTGAAGGAGGTTCTCAGAGAACGCCATGCGTTGCCCATGCGGCTCACCTGGCAAGGCGGGAGGCACCAAGCGTTCCTCACCTATAATGATCAATGCACAGCAGATGCTGCCATTGAAGCTCTCCAAGGGTTGAGCTTGAGAGGCCACCCACTTCGGACTGAACCGGCAAGGAACCAGTCCTAGCTGAATGACCCACAGAACCTCCATGAAGCCAGGAACAGGACAGATGAAATGTTCATTCTTGAGTGCCTAAGAAAATAAAAACCGTAGCCAAGGAGGATCCTGCTCTTTGAAGTTCTTTGGAGATGTTGTTCCCACCATGGAAGACTCTGGAGCAGGGGCGGCTCATCCATTACGCGAAGTAAGCGGTCGCAGAACACTTTTTTTTGCCAGGGGCGCAGAGGCGCCTCTGTAAATGCCCCTCGACCACCACTTGAGGAGCGCCCCCTCAGCTCACAACAGCCCTAGCAGTCCGGGGGGAGCCTCGGCTTTCTTGCCTCACTGCCGGGCGATCCTCTTCCCAAAGGGGCCGGGCCGTTGAGCCTCACCTAGCCCCTCTCGTTCCTGCTCCACCCGGCCACAGGGTGCACGAGCAGAGCCGACGCTCAATCGTTCTCCACGTTCGATCCCTTCCCCATGACCGGCTCCCTTTCCCAATCCCCCGGCGCTCCACCTGCCTCCTCTCCTCTCCCCAATCCGCGGGTGGGTCAAGGAGCAGAGCTGCCGCGCCTGGCCCGCTTCGGGTCTGGAGGCGTGTCTGAAGACCCCAGTGTGCGCACCAAAAGTTGCTTCTTCTCCTGACTTTCTCTACAGCCATTGGGACCAAAGAGAGAGAGAGAGAGCCCCTCCGGCTGGAGGTATCTCCCACCTCCGCTCCCTCCTTTGTTTTTGCGCCTACCTTCAGGAAAGGTGGGCATCTCCACCTCTCTCTCTCTCTCTCTCTCTTGGTCCCAATGGCTGAGGAGAAAGTCAGGAGAAGAGGTGACTTTTGGTGAACACGCCGGGGTCTTCAGGCATGCCTCCGGACCCAAAGCGGGCCAGGCAAGGGAGCAAGTGCGGCAAGTGTAGTTACTGGGATGTATAGTTCACCTACAATCAAAGAGCATTCTGAACTCCACCAATGATGGAATTGAACCAAATATGGCACACAGAACTCACACGATGAACAGAAAATATATATCAATGATTGGTTGGGGGGGGGGGGCAAAATACTGTTTGCTTACTGTTGAAAATTACCTAGGGCCGCCTCTGCTCTGGAGCACAAGTCCAAGCACAAATCCTCCTCCAGAAAGCTAGGTTTCCATAGAAAGAATCTCCTGCACTGGTCAAAATAATATTAGCTTGTATCCATGGATGTGGGTATGGAAGTGGTAGACAATGGCATCATATATGGCAGGACAATTAGACGGTGAAGTCCACCATGGTCTACAGCACTCAAGGTTGGAGGTGTCATTTTGAAACATATTTCCTCTTGAGTAAAAAAATCTGTCTTCTCAAGAAGAATGGTTCTATCTCTGGTCAATCCGTATCTGATTGTTCTTCCTGTAGAGCACACATGGACAAACTTGGGCCCTCCCTCCGGGTGTTTTGGACTTCAACTCCCACAATTCCTAACAGCATCAGGCCCCTCAGGCTTATGCGGCTGAGGGGGGAAAGGAGAGGGCATGAGGCTGTTAGGAATTGTGGGAGTTAAAGTCCAAAACACCTGGAGGGAGGGCCCAAGTTTGCCCATGCCTGCTGTAGATCAATGATTCCCAAACGAGTCCTTTGGTTTTTTGGACTTACGCTCATAGAAACCTCAGCTACATTGGCCAATGATCTGAGATTCTGGGAGCTTAAGTTAAAATCACTTGGAAGACAAGGGTTTGGGAGATTCTATAGAGCAGTGTTTCTCAACCTTCCTAATGCTGCAACCTCTTGATACAGTTCCTCATGTTGTGGTGACCCTCAACCATAAAATTATTTTCATTGCTACTTCATAACCGTAATTTTGCTACTGTTATAAATCTTCATGTACATATCTGATATGCAGGATGGATTTTCATTCACTGGAACAAATTTGGCACAAATACCCAATACGGCCAAATTTGAATACTGGTGAAGTTGGGGAAGGGTACTGATTTTGTCATTTGGGAGTTGTAGTTGCTGGAATTAATATTTCACCTACAATCAAAGAATTGAACCAAACTTGGTATACAAAACTCCCATGACCAACAGAAAATCCCGGAAGGGTTTGGACAACATCGGACTTGAGTTTGAAAGTTGTAGTTCACCTACATCCAACGAGCACTGTGGAGTCAAGCAATGATAGATCCGGACCTGTGCCGTTACACCCAGACGCTTTTATAAAAACAAAACTATGATGTGCTGTTCCCTATGTCTGGGCGAACTGCCGGTACTTTTCTTGAGAAGATTGAGATTCTCAGTAACTGAGTCTATTACAAGTTCTGAACATCAAAAAGGATATTTATTTCTCAAAGTTGCAAACAGAACAGTCCATTGATAAACCAAATAGATATTTCTTCTTTCTCTTCTCCACCAGTTACTGAGACAACCTTTCCCCAAGTGGCAAAGGGATCCAGGGATCCTTCACCCTAATCCAGAGCTGTTGTCTTTTAGAAAGAACAAATCTTTCCCTATCTAAGCTCCAGATTAGCCTTGGAGATAAGGCAATGCAGTCTCTCTCTCTATAAGACTCTATAAAATTCAATTCTCAAAGCTCAATATCTATTTTTCTTTATAACTCTCTTATAATCTATCTAACTATAGCTCAATTCTTCTCAATAAACTTCTCAATTCCTATCTATAACTCAATTCTCTATTCTCAATTCCAATCTATAACTCAATTAAGCTTATCTAACTATAATATCTCAGTTGTTCTCAATTCTCTATTCTCAATTCCTATCTATAACTCAATTAAGCTTATCTAACTACAATATCTAAATTGTTCTCAATTCTCTATTCTCAATTGTTTTTACAGTGGTTTGTCAGAACTGCCTTTCTGGCCACCAGCACATCAGATTCCTTCTTCAGAACTGAACAGGCAGGGAGGACTCCAAAATGGAAGTCTTTCTCCGGGAGCAGGGGCAGGCTCAAAGAGCTGCTCCCTAGGCCAAGCATTGCAAAGAGTTTGCAGACTGGCTTTTCCCGCCTTTGGCTGTTAAACTCCAGGCTTTGCAAGGCTGCATCAGCTCCTGGGAGAAAGGCAAGGGGCAGCCACTCCACGCAACTAAAAAAGCAATGCAAACCAGTCTCCTGGGAGATGGAACAGGACCAAACTTGGCACAAATACTCAATATGCCTAAATGTGAACATTGGTGGAAATTGGAGAAAAAGATCTTGAAATTTGGGAGTTGTAGTTTCTGGGATTTATGGTTCACCTACAATCAAAGAGCATTCTGAACCCCACCAACTATAGAATTGGGCCAAGATTTCCACACAGAACGCCCATGACCAACAGAAAATAATGTGTTTTCTGATCATCTTTGGTGACCCCTCTGACATCCTGACCCCCAGGTTGAGAAGCGCTTCTATAGAAAGATGTGTTCATTTTTAATGTATTTTTAAATTTTATTTCTGCCTTTATATCCTTCTTTTTGTGCTTTGTCCATTGGTGTCTTCCTGGGTGCATCAACACTGTAGAATTAAAGCAGTTTGGCACCACTTTAGCTGCAGTGGCTCAATGCTATGGAACCACAGGAGTTGTAGTTTTACAAGGTCTTCTGCCTTCTCTGGCCAAGAGTGCTGGTGCCTCACCAAACTACAAATCCCATGGTTCCAGAACAGTGAGCAATGGCCGTTAAAAGTGCTCTCAATCTGCATTAATTAGACAGTGCAGATGCTCTTTGTTTCCTTAAAAATAAGTTTCATTCAGACTGCATATCTTTGCCAAACAGAAGCCTCTTTGCTGTAGATCTCGGGCAGAAAGTCAAAATAAGCCCTGAAATGTCCACTTACTTGAAGCAATAACAATGCAAGAGCTGGGAATATTTGTGTAACTCCAGGGCTCAGGGCTAAGTATATTTTGATCGCATGATTACGCCCCAAGAGAAGCAGGCCTTTCAGAACGTGTTAAAAGGAAACCTTCTCAAGGTTGTCGAGGCCTCACTGTGCAAAATCCCACGAAATATTGTTCCTTCATTTCCTCCCTCTTTTTTTCCAAGGCTAACAAAACTGAGAAGCAATGGCATTGATGCTCTCCAAGTGAAAGGAGCGCGATGGGAAAATGCCTTTACTTAGCCTCAGAGAGCCCACCCTTTGCTCATAGAACAAAAATATTGCAGAGGTTCTTCCCTGCCCTCCTTTTTGGATAACTTTAGGAATCCATGGCCATATAGTAATGTCATATTACAGGCTTTTGCCCCATTTTAAAGGAGTTATGCAAATTTATTAACAACTAGCTGTACCCGCCGTGGGTTGCTGTGGCCAACCTTCCCTCCCTCTTTCTCTCCTCCCTTCCCTATTTCCTTCCTTTCCTCTTTTTCTTTCCCTATCTCTCATCTTTCTTCCATCTCTACCTGTTTCTTTCCTCCCTTTCTTTGTTCTTTGGTTACATCCTTCCTTCCTTCTCTATCTTTCATTCCTTCTCTCCTTCCTTGCTTCTCTAACTTTCTTTCCTTCTTTCCCTCCCTCCTTCTCTCCTTCCTTCCTTCCCTCTTTCCCTCCTTTTCTCGTTACTTCTTGACTGCCCCTTCCATTTAATATTGTATTTATATCTTACATAGAAAGAAGGAAAGGAAGAAGGAAGGAAGGAGGTACAGGAAGGAAAAAGGAAGGGAGCTAGGGAAAGAAGGGAAGGAAGGAAAAGAAAGGAGGGACAGGAAGGGAGGGAGGAAGGAAGGAAGAAGAAGGAAGGATGGAGGAAGGAAGGAGGGAAAGGAGGGGGATGAAGAAAGGAGGGAAAGAAGGAAATGAAGGGGAAGGAAATGAAGAAAGGGAAATAAGGAGGAAAGGGTTATCCATAGACACCTCCTGGTCATATGGCCAGCATGACTGCATGGAGTGCTGTTTACCTTCTCACCAAGGGAGTACCTATTGATCTACTCACATTTGCATGTTTTTGAACTGCTAGGTTGGCAGGAGCTAGGGCTAACAGCAAGAGCTCACCCCGCCCCACAGATTCAAACTGCCAACCTTCAGGTCAGCAAATTCAGCAGCTCAATTGTTTAAGCCCTGTCCACCATGGCCCTGCAGCTCCAAAGTGCTGAAGTTATTTTGCGGATTGGCTCGAGTGCTCTGGAGATTGAAACCCAAAGCGGATTTCAACAACCTTCAGCCACC